CAGGTCCATGAGCACCCTGCATTCCCGTCGCCCGGGCCCATGTGGGCCACGTGGTTGAAGTTGGTTCGGGGTTGGAAATCATCCTGGATCTCAAGTTCTGGGTCTCTAAGCATCTCCCTGAGGAAGAAGGCATTTTGGGATTCACGACCGTGAGAAGTCCTCGGGCTCTGCCCTGGCCGCCCACGGCATGGCCGCCCACGGCACGGCCGGGCCCCGCCCTCACCGCCGCTGCTGCAGCCTCTCCTCCTCCGGCACCTTGAAGACGAACCGCCTCTTGCTCCGGGTCCGCAGCATCTGCTTCCGGCTGTTGTCCGAGGTGTCGGGCACATTGAGCACGGTTCCTGCAGGAGGGAGGTGACCGCGGTCACGGCAGCCACAGGCCGCGGCAGGTCAGAGGGCAGGACGGAGGGACGGCGCGGTCAGCGGACGGAGGCTCACTCACCCGAGAACTTGCTCTTGAAGTAGATGAGGCGGGGAGGCTCACAGTTGAGCAGGTTGAGGGTGCCCTCCGTGTTCAGCGGTCTTATCTGTTGGAAACGAGAGGGTCGGCAGCCGCACACACAGCGGGCGCACAGCAGGGGGAAGCCGCCACGCCTTCCCCTCCGCCTGGGCCTTACCCTCCGCAGGCCGATGGTCTGCACCCACTCCATGGTGCACACGTCGAAGACGTCCACCCCGTACTCGCTGTACACCGTGACGTGCGAGGGGCTGCAACCTGGCGCAGACAGAGCAGAGCACGGTGAGGGACGGCGCGGCCCGGGCCTGGCGCCTTCCACCTGAGGGCAGCGGCCAGGCCCATCCCCGGCCTCCAAAAGGTGCCGAGGGCCAGGTGAGGGGCCGGCCACAGACCCTGACCACGCCCACTCTAGGGCCTTCCCAGATTCAGACCAGCACGACCAGAGGTTCGTGCATCACGCCGCTCCCGACTGAGGAGCAGGCAAAAGCCGCAGCACAAACGGTTTCTGAGTCAGCTTTCTTACACGGCTCCTGCAGAGCTGACACTTGAGGCTCCACACCCCAAAATTCAGGGAGGGCCGAATGGCCTGCCCTGTGAAGCAAACTCCTGTAGGAGATGCCAAGGAGCCAGGGTTCTGGGTGAACATCCAGACACACAAGAACCACTGCTTAGCTCTGGGGGACGAGCCTGCCGGCCACACCCAGCGAGCTCCGGGTCTGTGCACAGCGAGTGCTCGGGAGGCGGGCATCCCACCTGGCGTCTGCTCCGACACCGAGACACCGAACTACTTTCCGGCAACGGCTCTTTCCCTGCTCAGCGTGACGCCAACCGTCAGGTGGCGGCTGAAAAGCCCTTTGTTCCAAAGACACACGCCGAGGCCTGCGGGCCCATCTGAAGTGTCAGGGCTTCTGGACAGCGGGGCGCCTGTCTGCTCCTCACGCCCATTTGTGCGCTGAACGCTGCCCCGGCACCGTGAGCAGCCGCACCGCAGAGGCAGCCGCAGGGCCCAGCTCCGGCTCCCGGCTCCCCGTTAAGCTTCAGGGGGCAGGTCACTAACAGCAGGTGGGTCTAAGCTGCTGCTGCTGTGTTCCTAGTGGACGGCACGACCAGCCTCCCTTCCAACCCAAGGGAGTGAAACAGCGTCGGGCAGCAGGCAGGAGGCAGGACTGAGGGCCGTCCACGAATGACCCGACCTCGAGGCCGGCTCCCTGAGGCCCGCGCACAGCCGGGCAGCCTCTCCCGTGACCACGTGGGGCTCCCTGCAGGGGCCAGGAGGTCTGTGCGGGATGAGGCGCTGCACTGAGGTGTCCGTCTCCACGGGAAGGGAACCGCTATGGAATCTGACCACAGCCGCGTGCTCCCGCATCACCTGCCCCATGGCCAGCCCGCAGAGACGGGACTGACACGCCTCTGCACGGGACGGGCGGCTGAGCACACAGGGTGCCCAGCAGGGCGTGGCCAGGGCTAGTGCACTGGCCTCCAGACTGGCTGGGCATCTGCGCTGGGCACGAGGGCGGAAACAAGACCACAAGGTGGAGGCAGAACCGAACGCCAGGCCAGCGTGGCCACCGGGAGCCTGGGCTCGGGGCCGCTTTTCCTCTCCTAGCAGAACAGCCCCGTTGAGCAGGGCCCTGTAGTTCTGAGGCTGTTCCTACGTGGCGGCTTCCGTGGACACGGGGACGGCAGGGAAGGTGCGGGCGTGGCAGCAGGAGGCTCTGGCTGCTGCACTGCCCCAGCCCCGGCCGAGGGCCAAGGAGTCAGACACACACGTGAGCCCCAGGCGCCAACAGAGGCAGCGCACCCACAGCTGGGGCTCCTGGTCCAACACCCCCGGGTTCTCTGCCAGCAACAAGGCGGACAAAGGCTGTCCTTGTAGGTAATTGAGGAGAAACACGGCACCCGCCCCCCACCCGTAACCCCACTTCTGTTGCCCATCACCCCTGGCTCCCACCTGCCCGCCAGTGGTGGGCGCTAAGGGTTAGGGCCCTGGACAAGTTCAGATGGCGGGCTGGGCGTGAAGAGACCCATGGACCCCATGGCCCCCCCCCCCCCCCCCCACAGGAAGCCACCTCAATCCCTGGACCAACTCGGCTCTTTCCAGAACAGCTCCTGCCTCAGGAAACCGCCCCCCAGAGGCCTCCCACGGACAGGACAGCGCGTTTCTCCTGGCCGCGCCGAGCCCTGCAGCTGGGTGCTGCTACTGCGAGTTCATAATTGACTGCAGGCCCTCACAGCCGCCCGAGGCCAGTGTCGGGACCACCTCCCAAGGCCGAGCGTGGGGCCCGCCCTCCTGGCGCTCCCTAGCTCCCTGGCCGGGGAACCGGAGACGAACTGAAGCAAAACTGAACATGCCGACGGGCGTGAAGAGCAGCGACAGGGATAGGGCAACAGAAAACATATACATACTACAGGCAACAGGCACCGCAGGCCACATGAGCTCCTGCGTGCGCGACCTCCGGCCTTGTGGGTCCACGTACAGTCCCATGTGGCTGAAGCAAAGCAGGTACTCCTCGCTTTTGAGCTCCACAGCACAAAGGGCGTCAAAAGACTGCTGTGAGAGGAACGCAAGCGAGGGGTCATGGGGATTTACCAGCGGCAGGGCCTGCCCATCTCCCTGGAGGCTCAACAGAGAGAACCCCGAAGGGTAGCCAACACAGAGCTTGTCCTTGAGCACGGCCATGCACTGCACGCTGCCAGGGGCCGCGAGCTCCGTGACCTTCCTGTGGAAAGGCCGGGTCCGCTGGACCTCATAGCACAGCACCAGCCGCTTCACCGCCACGAGCAGGCAGGTGGCCGCGCTCTTCTTCAGCGTCGCCGTGGCGAGGAGCTGGCAGCCCTTCGTTTCCGGAAGCTTGACGTCCACGTTGCTTTCTGTGCCGTCGAAGGCAGACCACGGGCAGAGGTGGACGTGGTGGTTCCGGCCGCAGAGGAGCGCGGCGACCTTCTCCTTGGGGGCGAGCTCGATCTGGTAGACTTTCTTGTAGTCAGCGACGCGGACGATCACTGCAGGGAGGGCGGGCGTGAGGCCGAGGCGGGGGGTCCGCAGGGCCCACCCCTGCTCCCGGCGCTGCTCAGCACCCTCCACCCCTTCCCAGGCACCCAGGGCCCCATGTGCCCAACGTCACTGCTGTCGCAAGAAAGTGGTCTTGGCTGTGGCCTTCCCTCTCATTACAAAGCTTCTGATGGGGGCGACGGACCCGCCCAGTGACGTCGTCTCAGCGCTCACAAGTTCCCACGGCCGACGCTGGGCCAGCACAGCGGACAGGCCGCACTCACCGTCACGGGTCACCTCGATGACGTAGAGCCCTTCTTCTAAGCCGACCACAATCCTGTCGCCATCTGTGAGGCAGAAGGAAGAGAACAGAAAGCGCGTCAGCTGTGGGCCCGGCCTGTCCCTCCCTGGACACGGGAGCAACGGACTCTAATTCGAACGACGGTGAGGACAGCGGTGCCTCGGAGGCGCACGCACCCAGCACGGCGGCCGCCAGCACGGCCTTGACGAGCGGCAGCGAGGAGTCGTAGGCCTCCTGCGGGACGTGCACCACCTGGTTGCGCAGGCGGTTCTTCTGCAGGATGGACTGCAGTCCTTCCAGAATCCCAACCCACTTCCTCTTCTCGTTCTCGTTCTCTGTCAGAATGAGCAGTGAGCTGGTCTTAGAAGGTGAACCTAAGAGAGAGGCCGTCACCTTCAGGGCAGAAAAGAAAACAGGAGAGCCGTAAGCCGGCAAGCACGGCACAGACGCCCGCCCGGCCGGCCCGGCTGCTGTCCCGCCAGAGGGAGGAGCAGAAGGGCCAGGGGTTAAAGCTCGGCCGGCCTGCTCCGAGGCCCCTCTGTGCTGTCCTCGGGACAGGAAGGGCAGCCCCGCTTCCCCGTCAGCTCTCTGGCGTCCTGCTCTTGCCCAATCTGGGGGGTCATGTCCATTCTAAGGTGCTTTCCTGAACGATCGTATTACACTAAAGAGGACCCTCGGAGCACGTGCACAGGCGACAGGCTCTCACACAGCACAGGGCACCTGCACAGGCCCGTGCGGCTGCCAGGACAGGTTACATGCAGACACGGCAAGTCTCTGCGTTGTATGAGGGGCTTTCTGAACAGAGACGAGCTCAACCAGAACTCCCGGGCGGGGGGCACCTCTCAGCTTAGTGGAGGGACCCCCGCACGCCCCCTGCCAGTGAGTGCGCAGGAGCAGGGCTGCCAGCTACGCCTGTGTCGCTCCAGCTCCTGACCAGCAGGCCCGGGAGGGAAGGGAGGCCCCGCCTGAGAGCGAGCGCTGGCATAGAGCACTGCGATGGGGAGGGGAGGGAGGCGGCAGCGAGGGCAGAGGCTGGGCAGCACCTGTGTGAGGGGCCTGCAGCAAGGACAGGGAGGGGAGCCGGGGCCTCTCCCATGGGCCCTGGCCCCTCCGACGGCAGTGACGCTCTCAGAGGGTTTTGTTTTAACCACGTGACTTTCTGTGATCAGCGAATCCTCTCTAACAGACAGAAGAGAACCGTACCCTGAAGATACACGGAATGTCTCGTCGTGAAGCGTGAATGACGTCAGAGGCCAGGACTGAGCTCACCGAGAACTCTTCATCTCTGCAAGAAACAGGACACTCAGCGCACGCACGGGGCAGGAACACACAGGCCGTGCGCACCCTCCTGTGCTCAGATCTGACGAAAGGGCCCTTTCGTGATGACTTCCTCCAACGTGAGGGGCCCTTGCCTTGGTCTGGGTAAGAAAACGCTTCCTCTGGGAGTTTGAGAAGCCCCTCCCTCCACCCCTCCTCCCTGAACCACACCCCCTCTCTCCTCCCTGAGCCACATGGCTCTCTCTAGTCCTGGAGCTGCTTGGGACGGACAGACCCCACCTCGCTGGTGGGCCCGGATGGGGCTATAATCAGGCCGTCATTAAAGGAGCGAACATGTGCGATACCCGTGGCAGCCCCACTTCAATACACTCTACACTCCAGGCTCGGCGCCCGCTGGCCTCTTCCTCGCAGGGCCAGGGCGCGGGGAGGGGCAGCAGGGTCCCTGGGGCTTTCCCACACACAGGTCCCAGTGCTCATCCGCCCCATGTCCTGGGAACATGGGAGGTGGGCACTGCTGTGGGGGTGACTGACACATGGCTCTCATGGCACCACCACGGCACCCCAGAACCAATGCTGGCGACAGGCTGGAGGCTGGGCCCCAGCCTGGGCAGATGCCAGCATGTCCATGTCTGCATTTGCCGTCCTCCGTGGCACTGGGGTGGGTGACAGGACAGGCCACGCCAGGCCCTGTGCCAGCACGCCCACCTGCAACTTGTTTAACCTCACAAACACCCTCCAACTCCCGTGCTGGGATGGTGCCCGTCACACAAATGGGAAGCGGAATCAGACGGAACGAGAAGAGAAGCCGCGAGGAGGGTGCTCGCTGCCCTCTGCCTGGTGCCAGGAAGGCAGGTGGCAAGTACGGAAGGGTCAGAGGTGCCCACGCAGCAAGCATTAGGGCCCCACAGCCCGGCTCCAGGCTGCTGTCGCCAACAAGGGACCCGCCAGGCACCAGGCCCCTCAGGACACGCAGCGCCCTCTGGGTGTTCCCTGCTTGTTCTTGGGCGTGTAGGTTCTTATGTTAAATGCTCATTGGGCAATTTTCAGTGCAAACGTATCTAAAACAGGACGCTTCTGGCACGGACTTTAGTGCCTGTTTGGGGACAGCACAGTGAGGGAGGGTGTGGAGGCGGAAATGAGGTTAAGGGTCTCAAACAACACGCTGTCATCTTGGTGACAAGCACACAGGCGAGGCCCGGAGAGCGAGGCGCAGACCTGAGGTCCAGGACCTGGCTGGCGACCACGCCGGGCTGCGTGGACTTCCCCTCGGGCAGGTCGTACAGGAAGAGCTTGCAGTCGCAGACCACGGCGTAGGCCCGCTGCCACCCCTTCTTCACGCCCGTCGGCTTCGGGACCTGCGGGTAAATGGACCGTGTTTCACTGGCCGGCGAGGCCAACCACAACCTTCCAGAAGCGCCATCAGGGGCCTCAGGCGGGGGAGGGGGGGCTTCCTGGAGGTGCCACGGGCCACCATCGCCCTCTGCCGGCCGGGTTCTCACAGGCAGCTCCCCGCCCCCTCGCAGGCCGGTGGCCAGAGCCTGGTCTGGGCCAGGGAGTCAGGGCGCTGCTGCGGAGGGCGAGCACTGACAAGGTCACGCGGGGATGAGGCGGACAGCTCAGCGACAGGGACGCTCACAGCCAGGGAGCACTCGGAAACTACAGCTGGCCGGGCCTTCACGGCACTCGGCCTCGGAGCCTGTCTGAGCGCCTGGCAGGAGGCGGGACAGGCCCTGACTCCGAGTGTGCTTCGTGGGTCCTCAGGACCGGGCCTCCCAGGACGGGCACGAGGGTCATCGCAGACACGAGGGCCCAGCGTCCTACCTTCACGTAGCCCTTGTAGGCGGTCCCGATGCCCCGCTGCACGTCCACGCCCAGGGGCCGCCTGGCCTGCTCGGGAGGGAGGGGGCACACCTGGGGGGCGCTGTCTCGGCAGGACACGTGGCAAGCGAACGAGCACACTGGAGCAGGGAGGGGGCAGCGTCAGAACGTGGCCCGGAGGCCCCGGAACCCCACGTGGGGGTTTCTGAACACGTCCCGCCACAGCTCGGGGACGGGCACAGCGGCAGGCAGGGCCACAGGACACCTTGACGTGCAATGACTGTCCCGGAGCCGGTCTGTCCTCCCCCAGCCCCGACAGGAACAACGTGCCGGTCTGACGGGTGACAGCACACTCGGGGGTCCTGGCCACCAACCACAGGGCTGGCCCTGCACCGTGAGCACGTCTGACGGGTGACGGCACACCCGGGGGTCCTGGCCACCAACCACAGGGCTGGCCCTGCACCGTGAGCACGCGGCTCTGACCAGCGCGGGTGCTCGGGCCGCCCAGCCCAGGGTCAGCGCAGGCTTGGGACGAGGCCGAGGGAAGAGGCCCGGGGTGCTCCCTCCAGAGGACTCGCAGGGCAGGCTTGGGACGAGGCCGAGGGAAGAGGCCCGGGGTGCTCCCTCCAGAGGACTCGCAGGGAGGTCGGGCTCCGTTCTGCCGGGCTAATCTTCAGCATGACTGCACAGCACACTCTGTGGGCAGCCGTGACCACCAGAGGCCCGGCTCACCCGCCAGCGCGGCTCCCACGCAGCGAGGACCAGGCTTTCAGCCCTGGCTCACGGAGCATTTACACAACCAGGGGAAGATGCTCCCTCGCTCACTCCCACTGGCTGCGTTCCGCCCCCCTGCGCCCCAGGGCCGCGGGGATACTCACCCTCGCAGGCATAGCCCTGGCGGAGGAGCCCCACCATCAGGGAGGTGCAGTGGCTGCACTGAGTGGGGCTGGAGAAGGACTTGATGCTGAACTGGTGGGCTTTGGGCTGTGGGGAGAACACCGACAAGCTGAAGCACACACTTGGAATTCATTAACAGCTTGGCACCATCTGTTTGATCTTGAGAAACAGAACGTGTGCCATCTCCCGCTGAGGTGCCGTGGCCCCGGGCAGTGCCACCAAAGACCAGTGCGCAGACCAGTGCGTAACACCCACCCGAGGAACGTGAGCCAAAAGTCCGTCACCATACACTTCCTTCAGAGACGAATGGCATAAAGCGAGGTTGGCGCAGAGGGAGCGTGGCTGCCGCAAGTCCCTCGCCTCCCAGAGGCCCTTGGGGGCCGCCCGGGGCTACGTGTGGGAGGGGCTCCCACCCAGAGCTGCCCTCCCACCTGAGACCAACAGACAGACACGGAATGAGCAGCAGCCCCTTCCTAACAGCAAGAGCGGAGACCGCGCCCTCGCTGGGAGGAGGGACCCCAGTGACGCGGTCGGTGATGGAAGGAGACAGGATGGAGACGCAGGCTGTCTACGAGGCTCACACTGCAAAGCCCAAGCCTTTACTCCTCAGGGGACATAAATGGGGACGTTCGTAAGAAGCAGGAGGGATTGAAGAACCCAGGTGCAGTCCACCTGCTCTCTGACTGTGAGAATCAAGTCCAACGGCCAAACCATTCACCATCTTGCACAAGACCAAGCTGAGCTCTAGCTGGCATGGCCATTGTGACTGAAACCCTAAGAGAGGCCATGACTGCATCAACAAGAAGCCGCATCTAAGGTGCATAAGGCCAGATGCCAGTGAAGCCTGAAGCGTGGGCCTGTCCCCTAGGGGCTCTGGTCGTGTGGGCCTGGTCGAGCAGTGTGCACGGCTCTCAGGGCCCAGTGACAAAGGCCAACGACGAAGTGCACACTCGGGAGCTCCTTTCGAGCTTGGGGGACCCCCCCCCACACACACACACCATGCACTTCTCCGAGGTTCTCCGTGCAGGCGGGTAAAGGGAAGTAAATCTGGAGAAGGAGCTCAGACACGTCACAGAGCAGCTGCACTGGGGAGGGAACTGGTCTGGGAGTGACGGGGCTGGGAGATCCAACTCAGACACGTCTCCGTGAAATCCGCTCAGGCAGCGCTGGTCAGGGCCACCGGGTCCCGACACGCCCTGGATCGCACAGCACTCAGAGCGCCCGCTAACAGGCCGCGCCCGTCTGTCTGATTCACACGGCTCTTCTAAACCGAGGAGGCGCCCGGGGGAAAGCCAGGCTTACCTTTGGTCCAGCCAGAGCGAGGGCCTGCGAGGCGGGTGGCGGCCCGGCGGGCGGCCTCTGCGGGGCCCGAGCCATGTCCTGGGAGACAAGCGGGACAGGTGAGCGCCGTGCTAGCTCAGCGCTGCTCTAGCCAGACCCTGCGTGGATCCCTTCCCCCGGAGCTGATCAATAATGAACAGTTCTGCATTTTTAATTCGAGACATTGTGGAGACACCTGTCAAAGCACGCCTCATCGAGCCGATGCGCCGACGGCAGCTCTGAAATGCAAGTCGGGCTCAGAGCTGGCGCTGCGGGCGGGACCGAGCGCACCGGCCGCGGCCTCCAGCAGCAGGTGGACGCGGGGCCGAGGGGGCAGACTGAGGGTCACGGTCCGGGGCAGTCTTACCTCCTGCTGCTCTGTGCTTGCAGCCGTGGACGTGGACGGGGACACTTCTGGCTTTGGAGCTTGTGTTTCTTGCTCACTAGCTGAGCTGGTCTGTGGGGAAAAGGCAAAGAAATTGTGAGAATGAAAGAACTCACTCTGCAGAATTCAGACTCTACTACGTGTTCTCTATTTAAAAAGTGCATCCCCCCAAAATAAAAAGTAATAAAAAGTGCCTCCCACTGGGGAGCTGAGGTCCAGCACAGGTCTTGTTCCCGGGGCACGTGTCGTCAGCCCTCACCCTTCCCTGCATGCCGAGGCTGCAGGGTGACCTCCGGCCGGGACCCTGACGAGGCACCGTCACCAGCCAAGGCAGAAGCCACCCTGGAAGGGGAGGCGCCGGGAAACGCCAGCCCTCTGACGGACGTGACTCTCTGTACCTTCCAGCCGGAGCCCAAAGCTTCTGAACCTCATCTCAGGGCCTCTGACCGGAAGGGAGAATTTCCCTGAAAGTTTGATACACAGGGAAGCAATGTTTTGTTCTGACAACTCAAGATTCCCAAATTAATTTCTATTTGAAATTGGAGCTAAAGCTTTGAAGCCAATGTGAAGCTAAAGCTGCACTCTAAGACCATCTTTAGGTGGTAACGAGCGTTCCTGAAACTAGTATTTCCCCATCAAAGGTCACGCCCTCTGTCCACAGGTGCGCGCACCATTCACGCGTGTGGAAGCAGCGCAGCCTGAGCACAAGGAGACGGCACCAGACAGACGCCGGGAGGCGCCCACAGGAGCGCCCACAGCTGCGCCTGGTGCTCCAGCGGACGGAGCCAACCGCGAAGCCCTACAGCAGCCGCAGTCAGTGGGCTGCCTGAGGAGCCCTCGGGCGCCAGGAGCTCGCGCAGCCCCCATGCAGCCCCGCGGCCGTCCTGGGTGTGTACAGAACTTCCCAGGGGAGAGCTAGCGATCAAGGCTACAGATGTAAGCATGTTTCTCCCATAACAGGAATATTAAAGAAGTTAGAGCCACAGTTTTAGAAAAATGAGGAGCAAGCGAATATTAATTTAATGTTCACCACGCAGTTGTGAACGGATCAGAAGGGTGCACGCTGAGGGAGGAGGTGGCCCACGCAGCCGCGATGTCACTGTCCTGTGGATGAGGTATCGTGTGGACGTGTGCCAGGCTGCCCTGGCACTAGTGAGGCAGTGAGGACGTGGAGGAGGGACAGACAGGAGGACAGAACAATCACTCCCACCCAATAAGAACGTGCATGGAAACTGGACCCCAGCATTCCCAGTCCTCAACAGCGTGTTTCACGTGGGGAGAGAGACAGGTTCTAGGACCATCCCGGTGTGGGCCCACCTCCCAGCAGACCCAGACTCCAACCACGGCTTTTCCCGGAAGTGACTGTCGTTTCTCCTGAGCCGGAGGCAGGAACAGCTGTCAAAGCGCTGACGTTAACGGCACTAACGCGCAGGGTGCCGGCTCCGAGGACAAGGTACCAAGACCAGCCCCACCCCGGGCTGACATGCGCCAGTGCGGCCCGTGAGGGGTCCGAGCTGGAAAGCACCTGCCGGAGACGCCACTGCCACCCACTCCACAGGAGAGAGGCCCTCCCGGCACCTCCGCCCGTTAACTGCAGTCTCTGTCCTCGGGAAGCTGCATTCGCGGCCACGGGCTCCGCCGCTGCAGTGGCGGAAAGGCAGGCGGCGGCAGCAGGCTCACGGCACAATGACCAGAGCTGCAGAGGCACCGCTGCAGTGCAATCTGTTCGCTTCTTAAGCACTGCAGCCTCTGCCTGGCCTGCACGGCTCAGAGGTTAGAGCAGGGGGTCCTCAAACTACGGCCCGTGGGCCACGTGCAAATACAAATATTGTATTTGTTCCCGTTTTGTTTTTTTACTTCAAAATAAGATATGTGCAGTGTGCATAGGAATTTGTTCATAGTTTTTTTTTAAACTATAGTCCGGCCCTCCAACGGTCTGAGGGACAGTGAACTGGCCCCCTGTTTAAAAAGTTTGAGGACCCCTGGTTTAGAGCGTTGGCTCAATGCGCCAAAGTTGCGGGTTTGATCTCAGGTCCGGGCACATCCATGAAGGAGTACATAAGTGAAACAACAAGTCGATGTTTCTCTCTTAAAAAAAAAAAGCCCTGGCAGGTGGCTCAGTTGACTGGAATGTCGTCCTGAACAGCAAAAAAAGTTGCAGGTCTGAAGCCCCATCAGGGCATATACCCAGGTTGCAGATTCAATCCCTGGTGGGGGTGCATATGAGAGGCAACCAATCGATGTCTTTCTCTCACATCAATGTTTCTCTCTCCACCCTTCCTGTCACTCTCTATTAAAGAAAAAGTAAATGACAACAAAAACACCGCCCTGGGGTGAGGATTACAAACAAACTGAGGGCTTCGGGAAGACAAAGCGATGGCAGTGGCAGTGCCAGGACGACAGGAGCAAGCCTGCCGGGCTCGGTAAGGCTGACCCAGGCCGGGAGTGCTGGCCGCTGGCCAGGCTGCTGTGGGTGGCGCATCCATTGGCCCTTTCCGGGCGAGGTCTGGCACACCCCCTCAACCCAAGGGCTTCTGCAGAGCGTGGAACCTGCACGTGTCCCCTGCAGAATTCCCGCCAAAATGTCCAGCCCACGTCTCACGAGCGGGAGCATCAGACAAACCCAGAGGCTGGGTCTCACCACACTGCTGGTCTGGGCCAGGCAAAGCAGCCACTCCCGGGAAGGAGGCACCGTTCCAGAGCACAGGAGGCCAGGCAGGACAGCTCAGCACGTTCCCGGGCTCCGCCTGGGCCGGCAACCACGGCCTCAGGGCCACCTCGTCCACACGACAGCGACATCACGGTTCTGAGGGGCCACCTCGTCCACACGACAGCGACATCGCGGTTACGTGGGCCACCTCGTCCACACGACAGCGACATCGCGGTTACGTGGGCCACCTCGTCCACACGACAGCGACATCGCGGTTACGTGGGCCACCTCGTCCACGCCTGACTTAGGACATGAACTCTGGAGTAGCCCAGGGTCGCTGATATCGCGGTTAGCTGCGGCTATGCGGGAGGATGGCCTGACTTAGGACATGAACTCTGGAGTAGCCCAGGGTCGCTGATGCCTACAACGCATTTTCAATAGTTGCGGGGAGTGTGGTGCACGGGGAGGGAGGAGCTAGCTGCACAGGGGCAGGATGCTGGGTGAGACGCACCGGTGAGAGGCGTGTGCTCACTGCAGGCTCTTGCACCTCCGCTGCAGGTGTAAACATTTCTAAATAAAGGCGGGAAAACCAGCACACGCCTCAAGGCCCCGTGAATGAGACCTGCTTTCACGCTTTTCCCTTTCTGGCTTCCAGAGGCTGCTAGGAAGGGTCCAGCCTACTCTTCTGAAAAGGGGAAGATGCGGCACCCGAGGCGCGGGAAACGGTGCACGGGGAGTGGGGCTCGCCCTGCATTCTGCCGCTTCCTGCACAGGCAGCACCGCCGCTCCCCGGGGAGGTGCCGCCCCAGCTCCAACTCCGGCAGCAGCGAGGGGCCTCCACCCGTCGGCGAGACCTGAAGGGGAGCCAGGACGCCCCCCGAAAGTCTGCTTGCTCTTCCCTGGCTGCAGTGCGAGGCTGTGCTTTAACAGCTGCCTGGAGCACCACAGGCAGAGGCCCAGGCAACCTCTGCCCTGAAGACACGGAGCGGTTTCTTAGCAGCTCTCACGAATTCTGGAAGCTTCTCTGGAAACATCGCAAGTCCTTACACGTCTATAACCTACACACTTCACATCCTGGGTGGAGGACAGGTCAGCGTCAGATGGCACTTGGCTGGTGTGTTCTGGCCCCACAGGAGTCAGGTCACAGGGCACTATTTCTAACCCGTCATAAATGCGCTTTTCGCTTGTAAAACAGTTACTCACTCTGAAGGTCAGGTCATGTGCAAGCGGTGCAGTGTTGAAATACTCAAAAATAGAATCCTGAAAATCTGGAAGTTTGAGTCCTGCAAGACAGAGACAGTCACGGTGAAAACGTAAGACTATCTTATGCTGAGACGGGAAGGCTCCATGTCGGCAGACGCCGGCGCTCCCCAGTTAACCGATAACCCTGACGTGGTGCCACGCCAATGCCGGGACTTTCCCCAGCCGGGACGGGAATGCAAGCTCACCTGGGAGAGGGGGAGGGGGAGGGGAGGCGGAGGGAGAGGGAGGACACCTCGGAGTCTCTAAAGAAAGGGGCGGGAGGGGACCCACCAGCTGTGAAAACGGACCCACGAGAGGTCTGGCCCAGGAATGACCAACAGGGGAGAAAATCCCGGCTCGGAGCAGCGCCCAGGGCAATCTCCGCATGAGCAGAGTAACAGGAAGTCAGCAGGGACGGGAACTTAACTGGTGAACAACTAACGGGCCACGGGAAAAGCTAGAACGGGTCCCCCCGGACTGCACATCCTCACAAACTCCAAGCGGGCGGTGAGCCACTGAACAGCGACCCTGCACGCGCGCACTCCCCGAACACCTGGGCGCAGGAGTCTCTCTCTCTGCCTCCAAGGGGAGACACCGATAAGACACACACACCATTTAAAACCCTATCCCCGGCTTAAAAATAAAAAGCCCTACGTAAAAGACAGCCGAGAAAAGATACTTGCAACTTCAGTCACAAACAAAAGCCTCTAATTCTAAATACCCAGAAAGCTTCGGAGAATTAAGAAAAAGACTGCACAGCTTCTATTTCTAAAATGGGCCAAGGATACAAATGTATAAACCACAGAGGAAGAACCACCGCCAGCCCACGTCCTGCTCAGAATAAGAAAACGCAAACCCGGCTCCACTGCGATGCTGCTTCGCACTGACCAGGGTGACCCCGCTGGGTGTGACGGGGACCCGCCCGACCCGTGGCGGGCACAGACGTCCCGGCGCCTGCAGCAGCGGCAGCACCTGCAAGGTGTGCACGCTGACCCTTGGACCGGCAGTCCACGCTGGACATTTCGCCCAAAACAGTGACGGGAATGGGAAATGCTGTACGCAGGTCCACACCCGGCAGCGGGTTCCAGGACAGCGAGGGGCACAGAGCGGTCCCTTGTCATGGGATGCGACGTCTAACTACACTCATTTCTTTCAAGACCGAACACAGGAAGGACCACCCAGACCTGCGGGTGACTCCAGGGAGCGAATCACTGGACGCACCCATTTCAGAGTTTTGGCTTTGGAATGACTAAGTGCTCTCTTCAAATAACTAAAAGCTATTAAATCTAAAAGAAATTAAATCTAAAACAAAACCACTTCATTAAAAAAGGCTTATACTTTAAAAATGTAAAAACTTGTAATTTTAATTTACCGGTATCTGCTCTAAATTTTTCTTCCATCTTCTTCTTCAAAATTTCCATTTCTTCTAATAATTCTTTATTTTTGGCTTCCGAGTCCTTTAGTTTACTAAAAGGAGAAATAGGCGGCGTTAGGTGCAGAGCCAGGCCATCTGCGAGCGGCTGAGCGGAAGGTGGGGCGGGGCTGTCCCCGGGAAAGTGCTGGGACGCGCCCGGGCTCCACACACATGCGGACGGACACACGCGTGACAGACCGGCCTTCCCTAGCGCGTCTGGATGGTACCAGTGGTTCCGCAGCACAAACACGGATGGCAAAACCAGTGTGGAGCCCGCGGCGTGTTGGACATTGCTCTCTCTCTGGACCACCCTGTGCCCTCTGAGGACACACAGCCCAGGGCTCTCAGACCTTACACCGGTGTCTTTCCCCTAACCGGCAAGATGGTGGCTACCACCTCCCTGAGCGCAAGGTCTTGGGGTTCCTAGGCTTTTGTGGGGGGACAGAGCAGCCAGCTGCTGCAGCCAACATCTGGCGAGGCGGCGAGCAGGCCAGTCCAGCACGGGGGGACCTGCCATTGAATCCTGGCTCCGCACCTGTGTAGTGGTGACACCTGCCCACACCTCAGCCCCATCCTGGGACGGCAGGCGTGCCCCAGGGCCCACACGGGAGGACAAGCACCTTTCAAAGGAGAGGTTCGAGTCCTTGGCCTTCCTCAGCTCCTCCTGAACCAGCTGCTTGGCCCGGATCTCGGCCTCCAGCGCCGACTGCAGCTCCAGCCGCGCGGACATGTCCAGCTTCTGACTGCGGCGCACCTTCCAGAGGGGGTCCTGTGTGCGTTGGTTCAAATGTGAGAGATACATTTTAAACTACTAACTTCACAAAATTAGCGCTAACAAATAATAAATTCATCTGTTTCTAACTTTAAACGTTTATCATATTTAAAGATTAACTCTCAGGTATTATCAAAGTCCATCACAGCCAATTTTATTTTCAATATTTTATGGCCTTTATTCTTCCTTAGAGATCTTCTAAAAATTCACTAATTTTTTGAAAGAGTAAAATGGATCCTATAATGTAATTTTTAAAATTGATTTCAAAGAGGAAGGGAGAGGAAGAGAGAGAAAGATCAACGATGAGAGAGAATAATTGATCGCTACCTCCTACACACCCCTTACTGGGGAATCGAGCCTACAACCTGGGCATGTGCCCTGACCTGGAATCAAACCTGGGACCCTTCAGTCTGTAGGCAGATGCTCTAGCCACTGAGCCAAACCAACTAGGGCCATCATGTAATTTCTATTTGGGCCACTAGACTCTTACAAAGCTAAGCGGCACTGTACGGTCACAGTTATCTTACTTCCTTCTATCCCAGTGATGGCGAACCTTTTGAGCTCGGCGTGTCAGCATTTGAAAAACCCTAACTTAACTCTGGTGCCGTGTCACATATAGAAATTTTTTGATATTTGCAACCATAGTAAAACAAAGACTTATATTTTTGATATTTATTTTATATATTTAAATGCCATTTAACCAAGAAAAATCAACCAAAAAAATGAGTTCGCGTGTCACCTCTGACACGGGTATCATAGGTTCGCCATCACTGTTCTATCCTGAAGCATTTGACTATTTCCTCACTGCAGGGATGATGTCATTCTTCACCGAGGATGCCTACCTGAGAGGAGACTAAGAGAAAGGAAAAGGAGGGGCGGGGCACGGCCAGGGGATGGCGCAGCGAGGGAAGCAGCCGCTGCAGCACCTGCTCACTGGGCGGGCCAACCAGCCCGCTGACTTCCACGGGGAATGAGAGGCATCTGGACACTTTATTCCTAAGTTTTCAAGCACAGCCGAGGCCGCTCTCCGTCCATCGCGGAGAAGAGCGCGGCCCGAGGGGCCTTTCCCAGCTGCAGGCAGGAGCAGGCGTCCTGGATGGATTTTCTCCAGAATCAGTACATGAACGATATACCCTCAGGGAAAAAGGAACAGCAACCTCATCCAGTGTGTCCGTCAATAGGAGCCATCTACACAGTGTTCTGCAACAAGAATCTCCGAAGCCCGTGCCGCTAGCAGGACCTGTGACGGCCTCTTTCTCCTCCTACGAGGTTTGCGCACAGACTGGTCAGCGCAGCTCCTAGGAGCCAGGGCACACAGCGCTGGAAGAGGAGCGCTGAGACGGAAGACACTTACTGACCATCCCAGTTGCTGCAGAAACCTCACCCCTAAAAGCGAAGATGTTTCCCAGGGACGGGCGATGCGGCCGTGGTCTTTTCTTCAAGAAACCTGAGCTGTCACTGTTTCTCAGACAGAGGGCTCTGGGGACGCAGGGGAGTCCCTGGGACACGCACGGAGGCCGCTGCGTGCCCGGCCTCTGCACCACAGACTGAGCTCTGGTGCTCGTGTGAGGTGAGCAGTCACCACACCTGCAGGCGCTGTCCCTTTGGGTAAACATACCTTCCAACCAGGAAAACATGATGGAACCAGAATTCTATAAACCCTTTCACCAAGCCTCTGTTCTGACTGTTCTGTATCGCTCGTTCACAAAATGAATTGTTTTTAAAAAGTAAATGGGACCCAGAAAAATGGAGACGAGGGAACTGGGCTGAGAGGGGACCTGTGCAGCCCCGAGCTGGCCACACTCCCAACGCTGCAAACACAGACCACTGGCTGGTCACCTAGAAGGCCTGCCCCGGGGTGGGCCGTCCTGCTCACGGAGGGTGTCCCCGCAGGGCGCGGCACCACTGAGCATGGCGACATGAGCGAGGACGACAGCACCTGGCCTCCCGGAGCCGACCCCATGCCAGTGCTCCTCACACCGCTGTCCCCAAGGGAACGGCCTGTGTGGTGCTTCACGGCGAAAGCCCCTCGTGCGTCCCCTGGGACAGACGTGTGCTCAGGGCACAACCCACCAGTGTTCGAGACCCCAGGCTGGAGCTCCTCAACGCCTCGAGCTCTTCCGTCATCTTCGAAGCCAGAGCCTGGAGGTAACCCCGCGCGTCTTTCTCGTCGCTGACCCTGCGGGAGGGGACGTGGTGTCTGAGTGCCAGGAGCCAGGAGCACGCGTGGGTCCCGCCTCCCTGAGGACACAGGGACCCAGCGTCCTCTCACGGGACACCAGTCCCCGTGACAACAGAATGCCCCTGTGGCCGGCCGGTGTGGCTCAGTGGTTGAGCGTCGACCTATGAACCAGGAGGTTGAGGTTCAATTCCCCAGTGTAGGTCCTGTAGGAGGCAGCTGGTCAATGACTCTCTCATCATTGATGTCTGTCTCTCTCTCCCTCTCCCTTCCTCTCTGAAACCAATAAAAATATGTATAAAAAAAAGAACTCGCCGTAGGTAGAGGCCAGTCCCCGCTCCATCGGTCGCCTGTCCTGCATGGCGCTTTGTGAAGCGGCGCCTCTGAAGGCGGGTGTCCCTGCACAGCCTCAGCCACACCTCAGAGACCTGGTGGCTGCCTCTCCACCTTTAGCTCAGCGCAATGGCACTGGGCAGAACTGCCACTGACACTAGCAATGTGGGGGCACAGCGGAGGGCTGTTCCTGGACGTCCGAGAAATAGCAGGAGGTGTACATGACGGTCACAGAGGAGGATGGGAGCTAGAGAAACGGCACCCTGGGCTGGGCCACACCTGAGCCTGGGCCACACCTGAGCCTGAGCCACACCTGAGCCTGAGCCTGGCCACACCTGAGCCTGGGCCACATCGCTGGGCGGGCCGCACCTGAGCCTGGGCCTGGCCACACCTGAGCCTGAGCCTGGGCCACGCCTGAGCCTGAGCCTGGCCACACCTGAGCCTGAGCCTGGGCCACACCTGAGCCTGGGCCTGGCCACACCTGAGCCTGAGCCTGGGCCACGCCTGAGCCTGGGCCTGGCCACACCTGAGCCTGGGCCTGGCCACACCTGAGCCTGAGCCTGGGCCACGCCTGAGCCTGAGCCTGGCCACACCTGAGCCTGAGCCTGGCCACGCCTGAGCCTGGGCCTGGCCACACGGCTGGGCGGGCGGACGTACCACTGGATGATCTCGGCGATCTGAGCTTCCCAGTGGGCCACCGACTCCTTCTTGGCCGCCAGGTCCTGCAGCTCGTCCTCCAGTTGCCTGTTCTGAGCTGTGAGCTTGTCCACGAAGGAGCAAAGCTGAAAGTAAACAATCGCACACACAGTGGGTTATTTGGCGCCTGCAAGTAGGACATTAGCATTGTTCAAACTACAAGTTCTTTTGAAGATTTTGGAAGTTTTCTTTAATCGTTATGAAGTTCAGGATGTGGACTTTTGATTGTATCCAACTCCAGTCACATTTCAATGCAGATCTGAACATAAAAGGGACCAAGAGCCAGTGATTTCAGATAATCAGCAGCTTTTAGCCAATTACAAACACCCCATTTAAAAGATCACCATTACTTCACTGAAAAATAAAAATACTTAAAACGCAAACTTCCAGCATCCACGAGGGGCAAGTTCCCGCCCCCCGAGGCGCCCGAGCCCCCCATTACCCTCTCCTTCTCGGCGGCCAGCTTCTTGTTCTCCTCCGACAGCACGGCTCGGTCTCGCTCCAACTTGTCTTTGACGGTGCCCACTGCCTCCTCCACCTCACTGAGCCTGCGGGAGGGGCAGGGTCAGAGCCCACTGGGCCCGCCCCGGCCCAGCCGCACCAGCCTGCACCTCCCACGCGGAGGAGACGGGGAACTCACCGTTCTCGCTTTGACTTCTCCAATTTGTCTTTTAACATTAAGATCTCCTTCTGCAGGGCCAGCTGGTGGCTCTCAGAGTCATGCACCTCCTTCCTCACAGTTTTTACCTCCAGCACGTGGGAGGCCTCGCGTCTGACCAGCTCCTCTTCGTAGAACAAGACCTTCTTCTCCAGCTCAGACTTGATTTTGGAAATCTCTTGCTGATGCTCTAAGGAGGCCCCTGGTCCCCGGCCCCCTTGCTTTCCCTGGAGATGAAGGTTCAGGTAAGTCACATCCCCCCCCCCCCCCGCCCTCCCTCGGGGTCACGCTGCGTCCCCTCCCACATGCAGGCCCTTGGAGGGCAGCTTTGGGGGTGACAGCATCTGCCTGCAGGAGGGACGTGCCCAGACCTGTGGGACCCGGGGCCGTGTCACACTGTGTCACCCTGCAAGGTGGATGGTTCCAGGTCCCTCTCTGCCCAGCACCCCGCTCAGCACTCTGGGGACCGAATGTCAGGCCCCTGTGGCTGCGGCCACGTGACATCTCTGCTCTCGTGCAGCAGAGGGACAGTGACTGACACACCAGCGAACAACAAGACAGTCACGCAGGTGACGTGACCAAGACAGGGAGGAGGGAGGAGTGCGGTTCGACGCACTGGCCAGGCAGGTGGCAGCGCAGATGAGGGGAGACACAGACACCTTGAGGATGTGCAGGGGAGAGGTGGCGGATTCGCCAGGGGCTGGGAGCGGGTGCGAGGGAGAGAGAAGCCTCAGCGTCTCCACTCACAGACAAGGAGCCCACGGCTAGAAAGGTGGAGGCCCTGGGGTCACATGAGGTCAGCCAGGAGCCCAGCCTCCCACCGCCCTCTCCCGCTCCAGGCCGTTCCCCTGGCCCCTCGCCGCCTCTGGCCACGGACGACCAGCCTGTCTCCACTGTCGGTGGCAGGACACCGGCTTCAAGGAACTTTCCCGGAAGTGGGCCCAGGAGTTTAGAAAACCAGGTGTCCAGAGGCACGGGTGCTAGTGATGGGCTCCTAAGGCCGGGCCGCTCCTCGGGATGAGTCCCCAACGGGCAGGGAGGGTCGCAGCTGCTGGTGGGAGCGGGACCCAGCAGGCTCTACCTTGAGGGCCTCGAGCTCGCTTTCGAGTTGCTTGGAGAAGCTCTCGCTGTGCTCGCGAAGCTTGCGCTCCTTGGAGGCCTCGGCCACGGCGTCCTCGAGCCGAGCTTCCAGCTGCAAAACGGAGAACCGAGGTTCAGAGGCACTGAGCCAGCTGCACGTGTCACCCCTCCCCGCCTGCACTGTCCGCACGCGTCACCCCTCCCGCCCTCACGGTCCGCAGGCGTCACCCCTCCCCGCCTGCACTGTCCGCAGGCGTCACCCCTCCCCGCCCGCACGGTCCGCAGGCGTCACCCCTCCCGCCCTCACGGTCCGCACACGTCACCCTCCCGCCCTCACGGTCCGCACACGTCACCCCTCCCGCCCTCACGGTCCGCACACGTCACCCCTCCCCGCCCTCACGGTCCACACACGTCACCCCTCCCCGCCCTCACGGTCCGCAGGCGTCACCCCTCCCCGCCCTCACGGTCCGCAGGGGTCACCCCTCCCCGCCCTCACGGTCCGCACTCGTGACCCCTCCCCGCCCTCACGGTCCGCTTGCGTCACCTTTCCCCGCACTATTGTACCGAAAGCGGAGTTTTTCCCATTTATCTTTAATGTTGGCGGTATTTCTGAACGTCCCCCTTTTTCGCCATTAAAGCATGATGCACAGAACGACCCATCAGTAATGCACTGAGCACGAAACAAGGAATAACTTTATTCCATTAGCCAGCTCATTTGAAAGACAGGAAGAAAGCTCAAATCTGCGTTTCCTGTCCAATTTGAGATGGGCTTCTATAGGGTTTGGGGACAATATGTATGTGGCAAGCACTGCTGGGGGAGAGCTTATTCGGGAGCACATCTGCAGCCTGGACATTTATAATGGCTCTCAACACAAGATCTTCCTGGACAATGTACTCTTCACTCTCTGCCTCTGAAAAAAGATTCTGGTGTTTAAGTGTCCTATTATGTCTGGAGTCCATGGGCCCAGTGCGAGTTGGGAGACGAGATTTTTGGTTCCAG